ATTTCTCTTTCCCCCCACCTTTGCAGATATCTGCACCTCAGGAGAGACTGTATTCCACGTGGATTGGGTGAGTAGCTCTTCTGGGAGTAAGAACGGAACAGGAAGTGATGGCACCGATAACCCCTCAGCACCCCATCCCTCTAAAGAAAAGCCTCATTTGGTTTGGCCCCAGGGGATTGGTAGGCTCCACACACACCCACTTCTCTCTCACACGGTTCCTCTGGGTTTCCTCCCTCCAGGGGCTCCATCCTTGCCTCCCTGGACACCTTTAAGAAGATGTGGGTCTCCAAGAAGGAATATGAGGAAGACGGTGCCCGATCCATCCACAGAAAAACCTTCTAATGTTGGGACATCATCTTCACCTCTCTCTGAAGTTAACTCCACTTTAAAACTCGCTTTCTTGAGTCGGAGTGTTTGCGAGGAACTGCCTGTGTGTGTGAGTGCGTGTGTGGATATGAGTGTGTGCGCACATGCGAGTGCCGTGTGGCCCAGGGACCCTAGGCCCAGAAAGGACGATGAACTACCCGCGATGGTGACAGCCTGAGGCCTGGGGTTGACCGCTAACTGGCTCCTGACAGGGAAGAGCGCTGGCAGAGGCTGTGCTCCCTCCTCAGGTGGCCTCTGGCTGGCTATGGGGGACTCCGTTTACTACCACAGGGAGACAGAGGGAGGTAACCCATCCCCTGGGAGACCTTGCTGCTGCCCATCCTTGGCTGGGCTGGCCCCACCCTCACACCCACCCCCAGGGTGCCCTGAGGCCCCAGGCAGCTGCTGCCTCCCCTTGCTGGTCACTCCACTATCGATGCCTCCTGACTGCACACTGAGGACTGGGGCTGGGGTTGAGTTCTGTCTGGTTTTTTTGCCATTTTGGTTTGGGAGGCTAGAAAAGCACCCCAAGAGCTATTACGGAGACTGGATCTAGGAGAGAGCAGGAGGCCCTCGTGTTCACCAGGGAACAGGACCACACCAGCCACTGGAGGAGGGCAGGAGCAGTCCTCCCTCTGAATGGCTGCAGAGTTTATGTTCCCAGCCCAGTCCCCTTTTGGGGACCTTGGGAGAGTTTAAGGCACCTGCTGGTTCCAGGTCCTCGCTTTCCATCCGTTCTTGTTGCAATGCCATCTTCAAACAGTTTTATTTATTGAAGTGTTTGTTCAGTTAGGGGCTGGAGAGAGGGAGCTCGCTGCCTCCTGCCTTGCTACACTAATGTTTACAGCACCTAAGCTTAGCCTCCAGGGTCCCACCTCTCCCAGCTGATGGTGAGCTGACAGTGTCCACAGGTTGCAGGACCATTTGGGATTGGAAGCTACATTCAAAGACACTCCCACCAGGCTCTTTCTCCCTTTTCCTCTTGCTCACTGCCCTGGAATCAACAGGCTGGTTACTGGTTAGATTTTCTGAAACAGGAGGTAAAATTTTTCTTTGGCAGAGGCCCCTAAGCAGGGGAGGGGTGTTGGAGAGCCAGTGCCCTTAAGACTGGAGAAAACTGCAATTTACCAAGTTGCCTTTTGCCACTGTAGCTGACCAGGGGACTAGGTTGTAGAGGTGGGAAGGCCCCCTCTGGGCTGATCTTGTGCCATTCTTGACCGTAGACCTGCTTGGTTGAGGGAGAGGGCCAGATCAGAGTGCCAGGAGCTAATGGAGCCAGGCCTGACCCCTAGAAGTGGTCCAAAAGCCTTCAGCCTAGATGGTGCAAAGTTGGTGCCAGCCTGTCTTCACCGGCACCCTCACCTGTGACACCAAGACCCACCCCAATCCCAGACTTCACACAGTATTCTCCCCCACACCATCCTATGACCAAAGGCCCCTGCCAGGTGTGGGCCGCAGCAGCAGGTATGTGTGAAAGCAATGTAGCGCCCCGCGGACTGCAGTGCGCTTAACCAACTCACCTCCCTTCTCTTAGCCCAAGCCTGTCCCTCGCACAGCCTCGCACAAACTACATTGCCTGGTGGGGCCCAGTGTACTGAAATAAAGTCGTTCCGATAGACACATCAGCTGGGCCTCTATCTGTCTGTCACCAGGGCCAAGTGGGAAGACGAAGAGTAGCAGGCCCTGAATCTGAGGTGGTGACTGGGCCTGATCCATCCTCTAGAGGGCATCGTTGCGCCAGCCAGCCTTGTCCAGGACATAGCTCAAGTCTCAGCCTGTCAGTTGGATACGGAGCAAAGGGTGATCACACCACAGCCTAAGTTCAAAAACAGAAGGTCCCACTCATGTGTACACTCTAGCCCATGGGTGAGACTCAACTCCAGATGACAAGAGTGGCTCTCAACATCCCTGAAATCAAAGATTCTCAAAACTGTCACATGAATAAGAAGGCCAGGGACTTGGCCCGGCATGGTGGCTCACACCACGCCTATAATCCTAGCACTTTGGGAGGCCAAGGCAGGTGGATCACGAGGTCAGGAGTTCAAGACCAGCCTGGCTAAGATGGTGAAACCCCGTCTTTACTAAAAACTACAAAAATTAGCTGGGCACAGTGGCAGGCGCCTGTAACCCCAGCTACTCAGGAGGCTGAGGCAGGAGAATCACTTGAACCCAGGCAGTAGAGGTTGCAGTGAGCCAAGATTGCACCACTGCACTCCAGCCTGGGTGACAGAGTAAGACTGTTTAAAAAAAAAAAAAAAGGGCCAGGAGCTTATTACAATGCAGTTTCCAAGACCCATGCTCACATATCCTGATTAATCACTTCTCCATTTAAAACCTGCACTTGGGAGGAAAATTGCCAGGTCTTTGACAAATGATAACCTATTTAATCTTCCCAATGACCTTACAAAGTATATGTGCTTTTATTGTCCATTTTACAGATAAGGATTTGAAGCCGCGGAAAGATTAAGCAATTTCCCAAAGCTCTGCCTTTTTTTTTTTTTTCTTGAGATGAAGTCTTACTTTGTCACCCAGTCTAGAGTGCTGTGACACGATCTCAATCTCCACTCACTGCAACCTCCGCCTCCTGGGTTCAAGCAGTTCTCCTGCCTCAGCCTCCCAAATAGCTGGGATTACAGGTGCCTGCCACTGTGTCCAGCTAATTTTTGTATTTTTAATAGAGATGGGGTTTCACCATGTTGGCCAGGCTGGTCTCAAACTTCTGACCTCAGGTGATCTGCCTGCCTCGGCCTCCCAAAGTGCTGAGATTACAGGTGTGAGCCACCATGCCCGGCGCTGGCCTTTCTTAATCTAGAATGTAAACCCAGGCCATAAAACCTACAGCCTACATTTTTAATTACCATGCAGCCTGTAAAAAACCATAGGCCTAGAGCAGTGGTTCCCAATTGGAACCAACTTTGCCTCCTAGGACACATCTGGCAATGCCTGGAGATATATTTGTTTGTCACAACTGGTGTGTGTGGGGGGTGGGGTGGGAGGTGCTAAACTTCTACAACAGAGAACTATCTCGCCCCAAATATCTCTAGTGCCAAGGTTGAGAAATGGTGGCTGAGAGCCATGGTTTTCAGCGCCAGCTGCATGATAAAATCACCTACAGAGATGTTCAAAATCCTACTGCCCAGGCCATACCCCAGACCCATTAAGTCAGAATCCCAAGGAATAGAATTCAGATGTCAGTATTTTTTAAGTTCCCCAGGTGACCCCAAGGCTGAGAACCTCGGGCCTAAAAGAGGCTCCTCTTTCTTTGACTACCACGTCCAACAGTGATACATGGGCAATGCATTGAGGCCTGATGGTCATTTTGGGCCCCAGTGTCTATGCAGTTACCAATCTATGTTTTTCTCCCTGGCACCTTGGTAACCCACCATTTTTTTTTTTTTTCTTTTTGAGATGGAGTCGCTCTGTCGCCCAGGTTGGAGTGCATGCAGTGGCACAATCAATGCAACCTCCTCCCGGGTTCAAGCGATTCTCCTGCCCCAGCCTCCTGAGTAGCTGGGATTACAGGTGCGCACCACCACACCCGGCTAATTTTTGTATTTTTAGTAGAGTTGAGGTTTCGCCATGTTGGCTCAGGCTGGTCTCAAACTCCTGACCTTAGGTGATCCACCCACCTCGGCCTCTCAAAGTGCTGAGATCACAGGCATGAGCCACTGCACCTGGCCTGCCTATCACTCTTATTCAGAAAAATGCTCTTGGGGGCTTTTTCTAGTCAGTAAGGAATCCTGGTTCTCAACCCCAGCAACCCACCATTCACTCACACAGCACAGACTTGAGGAAAAAGAATGGCTGACTTTAATCAGTCTGTAAGGAAATAAACATCTTTAGAGGCCGTGTGGGGGTAGGGGAGCCCTGCAGCAGAGGCGGCATGCCACTTCAAGCACAGCTGAAGCAGAGAACCCTCTGAGAGAAACTACTAGAAGGGTGGACTGAGGGGGAGGTGGGACTTGGAGTCAGCTTTCCCTGACTGGGAAAAAGAGAGGAGTTGCAGTATCAAAAGTGGTTCCTGAGTCCACCACAGCGGCCAGCTCCGGCCAGGCAGTGGGACAGGCTCCCACACCCCATGGCAGGCCCGTGTGCATCACAGGGCAGCCCCCTCCCTTCTTGGTCCTCTTCTGTTCTCCTGCTCCACAAGAGAAGCACATCCCTGAGCACATACGGCCCAGCCCTTGCCCAAGCTGAGCCAGACAGCTAATCAGAGACTTTGACTGCAGTGATGCTCCTGGCTCAGCCCCAGGAGCTCCCTGCTGCCATGTCTTCCAGGCTGCACTGGAGGAAGGTGGCGGAGCAGAATGCTGGTAAAACTGGCTCCTGGCCAGGTGCGATGGCTCACGCCTATATTCCCAGCACTTTGGGAGACCAAAGCAGGCAGATCACTTGAGGTCAGGAGTTCGAGACCAGCCTGGCCAACGTGGTGAAACCTCATCTCTACTAAATAATACAAAAATTAGGTCAGCCATAGTGGTTCACGCCTGTAATCCCAGCACTTTGGGAGGCCGAGACAGGCTGATCACCTGAGGTCAGGGGTTCGAGACTAGCCTGGCCAATGTGATGAAACCCTGTCTCTACTAAAATTACAAAAAGTAGCCAGACGTGGTGGCACACTCCTGTAATCCCAGCTACTCGGGAGGCTGAGGCAGGAGAATCGCTTGAACCTGGGTGGTGGAGGTTTCAGTGAGCCCAGATTGCAACACTGCACTCCAGCCTGGGCAACAGATCAATTTTTTGAGGGAACATCTCCAAAAACAAAAACAAAAACAAAAACAAAACAGCTATGAAATCCTTAAAAAAAAAAAAAAAACTGGCTCCTCCCCCAGGCTGCTGGCAGCGTCCTCAGTGGGGTGGCCTTGCCACAGCTCTCACACCATCTTAACATCCAGGGTTTGGGCCTGTGACAGGTTCTGGCGCTGGGCCTTGACCATGTGCAGGCGTCTCCCGTGCAGCGTGAACTGGGACCAGGTGAAGAGCTGCAGCAGAGCACAGGTGATGGGTACCAGCACCAGCAGGTAGAAGCAGCCCTGGCGGAGCATCGGGGCCTGTGCAGGGGCTGGGGCTGGGGGCTCTGGCCAAGGATGGGCACTCCCCACAGGGGTTATCAGGGACTGCTGGAAGAGGTCATGACCTAGGACAAGAGAGCACAGAAAGACTATGGTCAGCCCATTGCCCTCCAAGCCTTGGTGCCCTCCAAGTCCATGGTGTGACATCTCAGACACCACATGGACATGTGCAGACTACAACTCCTGAGTCCTTCAAATCCGCTCCTCTCCTACTCTTCCCATCTCAGTGATGAGCACCACCATCTACCCAATAACTCAGGCCTAAAACCTCAAAGTCCTCCTCAGTTCCCTGGTTCGTTTCACGCCATCACTCCCCCAACACCCAATCCTTCATCTCCCCCCAACTCCAAAACGTATCCCACCTGCCACCACCCTGACCCAAGTCTCCATGGCCTCTGCCACAGTCTCCCAAAGATCTCCCTGCTGTCCCCATTCTGGCCTCCCTATGATCTGCTGTCCATACAGCAGCCAGAGTGAACTTTTTTTTCCTTTTTTTTTTTTTTTTTTGAGAGATGGAGTCTCGCTCTGTCTCCCAAGCTGGAGTGCAGTGGCACGATCTCTGCTCACTGCAACGTCTGCCTCCCAGGTTCAAGCAATCCTCCTGCCTTCCAGGTTCAAGCGATCCTCCTGCCTCAGCTTCCCAAATAGCTGGGACTACAGGCATGCACCACACCCAGCTAATTTTTGTATTTTTTAGTAGAGACGGGGGTTTCACTATACGTTGACCAAGCTGGTCTCAAACTCCTGACCTCAGGTGATCTCCCTCCTCAGCCTCCCAAAGTGCTGGGATTACAGGTATGACCCACCTCACCCAGCCCAGAGTGAATTTTGTTAAAAAGTCAAATCACACCACGTCACTTCCCTGTTTAAAACCCTCCCTGGCCAGGAATGGTGACTCAAGCCTGTAATCTAAGCACTTTGGGAGACCGAGGTGGGTGGATCACCTGAGCTCAGGAGTTTGAGACCAGCCTGGGCAACCTGGCAAAACCCCATCTCTACATAAAATACAAAAAGTTAGCCGACATGGTGGCATACGCCTGTGGTCCCAACTACTTGGGAGGCTGAGGTAGCAGGCTCACTTGAACCTGGGAGGTCAAGGCTGTAGTGAGCCAAGATTGTGCCACTGCACTCCAGCCTGGGTGACAGGGAGACCCTATATCAATAAATAAATAAATAAATAAATAACGCTCCCAACAGCTTGCTTCCAATACTGCCCTGGTCAACAAAGCCCTCTTCACTTTTCCAGCCACATCTCCTAATCACCCCTGACACCCTGGGCCTTTGCACCTGCTGTTACCTCTGCCTGCGATTCACTGAGACCTTTTCTAGACAAATCCTTGCCATTCAGCTCACATCCTGAGGGGCACCTTCTCAGAGAGCCCTTCCCTGATGACACTACATAGCTTCTGAGTCACACCATCTCACATCACCCTAATTTCACTGTAACACTGTCACTGCCTGATAATGTCTTATTTGGCTGTTTATTGCCAACCCCACCCCACACCTGACTAGAATACAAGCTCCGTGGTGGCAAAGACCTTGTCTATCTCATTCATGGTTAGCTCCCTGGCACCCAGAGCAGGGCCTGCAGGGAAGGGATTCCGTACATATTTGTTGAATGAATGAATAAATGAATGAACTAAGAAAGCATGGCGGAATCTGTGACCCAACGACTCTAGCCATGTTGGGGGGACGCCAGTTGCCACCTTTCCTCACTGGACCCAGAGCCCAGGCTTGCCAGTGTGCCAGGTAAGCTGTGCCCCCTGGAGCCTTAAGAGCTCTTGCCTGTCGCCAGGCCCTCACCTGTGTAGAAACAGAGCAGCCAGGTGCCTAGCAGCGGGGCAAAGGTCTGGCCTGGCTTGGTCACCAGGGCAACCATGCCAAAGAGGAGTGCCGAGGCTGCCTGCTTGCGGTGGTTCAGCACCAGGTCCTCATCTACCAAGTCGGTGACCACCAAGGTCAGCAGCTTACAGGTGCCCTCAGTGAAGACGCGGTTGCTGCGGTAGAGGGAAAGAGTAGGCAGGAATGAAGGCATGGGACAGAGGTGTTGGGGGGAGCATGGGCAGGGGCATACCTGGCAATGAAGAGGCACAGCAGGCTGAGGTGGTCCGGGCCGGCCAACAACATGAGCAGGCTAAGGCCCAGCTTGAGCAGAAAGAGTCCCCGCACCACCGCATAGACACCCCAGCGCCGGCACAGGGACAGGAAGTAGAGGTTGTTGAGATGGGGAGCAACATAGGAGAGGCCTGGGGAGGGAGACGGGGCGCCACCTTGTTAAGGGCACTGCTGCAGTGCCAGTGAGTGCCACCAGCTTCACGGCCAACTGCATTCCTGTACACTAGCAATGCACTGGGCTCTGTGCTAAGAGCGTCACTGTCTTAGTTCATCCTTACAGCCCCTTAAGGTGAGTACTATTATCATCCCCACTTTACAGATGAGAAAGAGAGGCCCAAAAAGATGAACTAACCCACCCGAGGCTGCCCACCAGATGAGCACAGAGTCAAGACTCACACCCAGCCCATCAGATGATATTCCTTTGTGTTAACCAGTCACTGCACCCCCTCAGGGTGCCACCATCTCCAAGAGGACCGACACCAGCGCAGCCTCTGCCCCCCCCAACCGCCAGCACACACTGCCCCCCATGCCCACTGTACCCGGCAGCCCTTGGTGTCTTAAAAAGATTGTCCTGGCTGGGTGCAGTGGCTCACACCTGTAATCCCAGTACTCTGGGAGGCCGAGGCAGGTGGATCACAGGGTTGGGAGATGGAGACCATCCTGACTAATACAGTGAAACCCCGTCTCTACTAAATATAAAGTCTCTCTCCTTCCAGCCTGCATGAAGCACAGAAGGCCCCCACTCACCCAACAGGATGGAGCCCGTGGAAAGGGAGATATGGTCAGACAACAGATGCTCCAGGAAGAGAGGGAAAAAGTTGCTGTTGAAGTGGCAGTGGAAGACCTGCAACCCGACAGCGATGGTGAGGAGGCTTCCAGGTGGGAGGGGAGCTGACAAGGCTGGAAGCCAACAGGGGAGCACACATCTGCCAACCCCCCCCACACCCCATCCTCAGAGCAGCAAGAGTAAGAGCAGGCCTTTTTCCCCATGTCCCTAAACACAGAACATGCCAGAACACAACCTAAAACCACATTCCTGGTGTTACCTAACTTTGCTAAAAAGTTAGAAGCCATGGCAAAATAGTATCTGAGCAATTAAAAGCTTTTTCTTTTTAATTGAAAACACATTAGGGAGGCTGGGCACGGGGGCTCACACTTGTAATCCTAGCACCTTAGCACTTTGGGAGGCCAAGGCAGGTGGATCACTTAAGGCCAGGCGTTTGAGACCAGCCTGGCCAACATGGCAAAACCCCGTCTCTACAAAAAATACAAAAAATTAGTCGGGTGTTTTATTGCATGCCTGTAATCCCATCTACCCGGGAGGCTGAGGTGGGAGAATCATTTGAACCCAGATCACGCCACTATACTCCAGCCTGGGCCACAAAGTGAGAAGAAAAAAAAAAAAGAAAACACATCAGTGAAACAAATTTCATGACATGAAAACAGTTTATTTCTAAGTTCAGCTGGTTTATATACTACATGTTTTAGGTAGAGCATTTGGCTCTTCTTTTTTTTAGAGATGGAGCCTTGCTCTGCCGCCCAGGCTGGAGTGCAGTGGTACAATTATAACTCACTGCAGCCTCGAACTCCCCCAGGCTGGAGTGCAGTGGTGCAATTATAACTCACTGCAGCCTCGAACTCCCCCAGGCTGGAGTGCAGTGGTGCAATTATAACTCACTGCAGCCTCGAACTCCGGGCTCAAGCGGTCTTTCCACCTTGGCGTCCCAAAGTGCTGGGATTACAGGCGCGAGCCACTGCACCTGGCAGTGCTTGGTGTCTTAAAAAAATGGTTAAAGGGTCCCCAAAGGGGGCATCTCTGTCTAATATCCTCACTTTACAGGAGAGGACAGGGCTCCCCAGAGAGCCTGAGACCTGCCTAAGATCACACAGGGAGGGAAAAACTCAGAGGGCGCTAGAATCCAGGCCTCCTGACTACTTAACCTGCATTCCTGCCATCAAATTGCCCAGCAGACCTCCTGGGTGGCCCAGAACTCAGTTCCCAGCTCTTTTTTTTTTTTCCTTTGAGAAGGAGTCTCACTCTGTTACCCAGGCTGGAGGGCAATGGTGCCCTCTCAGCTCACTGCAACCTCCGCCTTCCAGGTTCAAGTGATTCTCCTGCCTCAGCCTCCCAAATAGCTGGAATTACAGATGTGCTGGAATTACACCATGCCCAGCTAATTTTTGTATTTTTATGGGGTTTCGCCATGTTAGCCAGGTTGGTCTCGAACTCCTGTCCTCAAGTGATCCACCTGCCTCAGCCTCCCAAACTGCTGGGACTACAGGCATAAGCCACTGTGCCTGGCCGAGTTCCCAGCTCTTGAAGAGTCTGTCCCCTTGAGTGAAGTCCAGGCCAGCTGTAGAGGTGCCTGGAGCCGTTCCCCCATACCTGCACCAGGTCCATGCTCACAAACCACAGGAAGTTCCGATGGCGTGCCAGCTGCCGGAGATATTGGCCCAAGGTGATGCTGTCTGCCTCCTCACTGCCCACAAGCAGCTCCTCTCCACACAGGCTGTGGGGCAGAAGGGAGTGGAGAACTGCCTGGGGCTGGCCAGAGTTATCCCCCAACACATCCCAGGGCAGCCCCCATAAGCCAAGGACATAGCACCAAAATCAGACTTAGAAGGTTGCTGGTGAGGACCTGAAGAACCAGGGCTGGCCACTCACCCGAAATCCACAGCCAGGCCTGAGCACCCTGGGTCCCTTCGGGCGGCCTCAACCCGCCGCCTCAGCAGCTGTGTGGCCCCCAGAAAGCCCAGCCCAGAGCTGACAGCCAGTGTCACGCAGAAAGCGCGGAAGGAGGAGAAATCCTCCTTGTTCCAAAAGGCATAGGAGGCAAAGACAGAGAGGGAGCCGGCTGCGCTGAAGAGGGAGCAGTAGAAGTTGAGGTGGGTGCGGTCGTGGGCTGAGAGTGCCAGGTCGGCCAGCAAGGCGTGGTGGTGCAGGTCCACGAGCGTCAGGAAGCCATCATAGAGGCACAGGCACAGCAAGAACTGCAGGCCAGCTGGGGCCCAGGGCACCCAGAATGCCAGGAATGACAGCGCCAGCAGCGGCCCATGCCAGCCCAGGGCCCGCACCCGGGCCAGCACCACGGCCCTTGAGGAGAGCCCAGCGCCTGACCTGCTGGGGAAAGGAGGGTTGTTGGGAGATGCCCTGTAAGCCTTGGCAGGCCGAAGTTCCCCTTGCCCAGGCTCCGGGGGAGGGATGGAGGCCCAGGGTGTGGGACTCACAACAGGGTAGTCCCACTGTCCCCCAAGTCCCCAGTCTGCAATTTAGGAAGCACAACTCAGCAGTGGGTACACTCCATCCTCTGCCCCAATTTCCACCCCATTATTAGCCTGTTGGGCTGATGGCCAAAGGGTATGGGATGCCCACTTCTCAAGGTTGGGAGTGATGATGGGATCAAGAAGGGATGGGGCAAAGGAATCTTCTAGAAGCAGCAGAGGGTGTTTGCAGTCCACAGTCCAGAGGGGCCAGCCAAGCCAAGCCAGGGTAGATCTCTTCACCTGCCAAGCCAGGCAAGGGTGCGTCCAAGGCCACCACTCCAACCCAAACAGAGCACCCTAGACCCCAGGAAGGGAAGGGGCATGGGCAACACTGAAATAGTCTCCCCTTCCTTCTCCACCCCAAACACAGGCAGGGGTCCTCCCTCCTGGGTAGCAGTAGGGTGGGACTGAACCAATTACGAGCTGTTCCCAATACACCAACCGGTGCTGGGAGCTGAGGAACTGCCGGTCACTGAGCCAGCCGAAGAGGGGGTCATTGAGGCTGTTCCAGAGGAGAAACACCGTCTGCAGGCAGAGGGGAGACAGGCAGGTGGGCTCTAGGCAGCCTCCTCTCCAGGGCTCCTCCCATCCCAGCCTGCTCACCACCCCTCAAAGATGGCCCCAGCTTTCCTACCCGCAAACCTTTGCTCGTGTCAGTTCCTCTGCTAAAACCCACTCTGGCCAGGTGCGGTGGCTCACGCCTGTAATCCCAGCACTTCAGGAGGCCGAGGTGGATGGATCACCTGAGGTCAGGAGTTCGAGACCAGCCTGGCCAACATGGCGAAACCTCGTCTCTACTAAAAATACAAAAATTAGCTGGGCATGGTGGCGGGCGCTTGTAATCCCAGCTACTGGGGAGGTTGAGACAGGAGAATCACTTGAACCAGGAAGGCAGAGGTTGCAGTGAGCTGAGATTGCGCCACTGCACTCTAGCCTATGCGACAAGAGTGATACTCCATCTCAAACAAACAAACAAAAAAAAAACCCTACTCTGCCAGTCAAACCACTGCCCCCCTCAAACTCGCACCCATCCAGAGCCCAGCTGGTAAATGTATGCAGCTGATAAATTCATGTATGTGAACATATTATATATATGAATACACAGAACAGCAACTACGTAAGACAGTGGCCAGGAAAGCTGATCTAGTTCCCACCAAGGAGGAGTCATCAAGGCCTCCACAGCTTTTCTTGCTGAGTCTTGGTGAACAACCTGGACTGCCCATGCCTCTGACTGGGTGGGAGCTGGCGCCTGCAATCTGCCCGGCAGCCTGGACAGCCTCTAGTCTCCACCCTACACCCTCCTCCATGTTGGCCACCCAGCGCTGGCCTTACCTCTCCGACCCAGAAGGCCATTTTGTTGATCTTGTACACTGATACAAAGGTGTCTACATAGTAGAGCAGGAAGACATTGTGCAGGATGGTGGTGAAGAGAGCCAGGGAGCCATAGACCGCAGCTGTGGGCAGACCCAGCAACCAGGCCTGGGGCCGATCCAGCCCCATGGTTGCAGCCCCAGCCTTAACCCCAGGAGCACCGGGGAGGGCTCATGGCCACAGGCAGTCTTGTCATCCTCATCCCTGGGAAAGAAGGAACCAGTGAGGAACAGGGATCAATGCCAGCTCTGCTCTTAACCCCAGACCTCTGAATAATTTAAAAACTCATTTCCAACAGGAGAGTTTGTACTGACAACAGTGCTGGGAATTATGAATGAAGTACAACGGAAACAGTGCTGAGCTAGACACCACTAATCTGGGAGTGACTCGAGGAAACAGAGAGACTGTGGGAAGAGACGGCAGACACCCAGCGAGTGCTGAGCCAGGTCACGTGCCAGGACTGAATGCTCAGTGTCTTCTTAGATCGCACTGTGTGACTTTAATGGTCTAGACGGGACAACCCTGAGCTTGGGCACACAATGCACTTACAGTAAAATGTCAGGCAGTTACCCAACCCAGGCCTTAGCCTCCTCTTCTCTAAAAGGTAAAAGGAGATTGTTATGCCTATTTTGCAAATCATAAGGATTAACTGACATAACTCACAGAAAGCACTCACTGTTGGTATTGATACGGAAGATGGGAAGGGAAGTGCCGGAAACAGAAGGACGTAGTCCCTTTAAATGATACGGAAGTGGGGAAGGGAAGTGCTGGGTAGAGGAGGGCATGGTCCCTAGCTAGGGCTCCACCCCGGGCCTGACCTAGGTGAGGACAGGCTTTTTTTTTTTCCTGCCCAAATGTTGCATTTCCCAAGACCACCCTGGCCCACCATGCCCCCATCCGGTGCTTATAAAAACCCTGACACCCAGCCGGGTGCAGTGGCTCATGCCTGTAATCCCAGCACTTTGGGAGGCCAAGGTGGGCGGATCACCTGAGATCAGGAGTTCGAGACCAGACTGGCTAACACACCAGCCTGGCTAACACGGTGAAACCCCGTCTCTACTAAAAATACAAAAAATTAGCTGGGCGTGGTGGCACATGCCTGTAATCCCAGCTACTAGGGAGGCTGAGGCAGGAGAATTGCTTGAACCTGGGAGGCGAGCACTCTAGCCTCAGCACCAAAAGCGAAACTCAGTCTCAAAAAGAAATTAAAAAAAAAAAGAAAGAAGCACTCTAAGCCTGCAAGTCCCCACCACTACCCCCGTGGGCCACAGTGATCCTATCTTGTCCCAAGGCAGGAGGATGGCCTTTCCTTGAGGCCCTTGAGCCCCCTGAAGAAAATGCATTTCTTTTTTTCCTCAAAGCTTTATTCAGGTCTAATTGACAAACACTAAACTGCACAGTTTTCAAAGCATGCAGGCTGATAAGTTTCACCATATGCAAGTACCTGTGAAATCATCACCACAAACAAGATAATGAACACATCCATCACCCTACATTCCCTCAACACTGCTTTTCTGAGAAACATATGGAAAAAAGACATACGGGGCTAGGCACAGTGGCTCACACTTGTAATCCCATCACTTTGGGAGGCCAAGGTGGGCAGATCACTTGAGGCCAGGAATTTGAGACCAGCCTGGCCAGTAGGGCAAAACCCCGTCTCTACTAAAAATACAAAAATTAGCCAGTGTGGTGGCAGACACCTGTAGTCCCAGCTACTCGGGAGCTGAGGCAGGAGAATTGTTTGAACCCTGGAGGTGGAGGTTACAGTGAGCCCAGATCGCACTCCAGCCTGGGCGACAGAGCGAAACTCTCCCTCAAAAATAAATAAATAAAAATAAAATTTTAAAAATGGTGAGCACTAAAGCTTTAGAGATTTATCACTATCCAACCTCTCAGCCCTTCTGTAAAATGGAGAGGCTCCACGCCCGCCACACAGGGATGAGGTGGGATTAAATGAGATGCCCTCTGAAGGTGCCTGGGGCTGTAAAGCACGATGTCCACCTCTGTTACCATCCTTAGCTGGGTCACTTACTCCAGTTCCTCCAGGGCTTTCAGAACTCTCCTGCCTTTGTCAAAAGGGAGTGAAGCCTCCCCATCCCTACCCAGATGCCCAGTGATCTGTCCTTGTTGCTGGTGAAGGTGAGCCCTGCACACAAGGTCCCCAGCCTCCCCCAGCCACCTCCCTGCACCCACAATGGGTAGAAGAAGGTTAATGAGATGGAACAGGTATGACTTTTGCCATCAGCAGGGCCTGGGTTCAAATCCCAACTGTACTTCCTACTAAGCGTGTAACCTCAGGCAATTCAACCCTTCTGGGCTGGAGTTTCCTCATCTATAAAATGGGGTAATAATGCCTATCCTTTTCTTTTTCTTTTTTTTTGAGATGGAGTCTTGCTTTGTTGCCCACGCCAGAGTGCAGTGGTGCCATCTTGTCTCACTGCACGCTCCGCCTCCTGAGTTCACGCCATTCTCCTGCCTCAGCCTCCCGAGTAGCTGGGACTACAGGCGCCCGTCACCACGCCCAGCTAATTTTTTGTATTTTTCGTAGAGATGCGGTTTCACCGTGTTAGCCGGGATGGTCTCGGTCTCCTGACCTGGTGATCCGCCCTCCTTGGCCTCAAAGTGCTGGGTTACAGGCGAGAGCCACCAGGCCCGGCCAGGGTTACTCTTTTGGGGGTTTATCTTCCAGATTCCACTCCTCCATCAGGAAACAGCCTTCCCCCACTTGCCCTCCCCACCCTCAATCCACCCAGCAGAGAACAGCAACCCCACCTCTCCCAGGGATGAACAGCTTGGAGCCCACACCAGCCTTGCATAAGCTGGTGAGAAATCTCGTAACCTGCAACCAACTCCACCCACCTTCCTGGCACCTTCCAAGACCCATCCTCATGGTCCCAGCTGGTGGCCTTGAGCCAGTCACTCCCTCTCCCTGAGCCTCAGGCTCCTCGCCCACAAAGTGGGGAGGTTAATGTCAACCTCTTAGATGGCTGGGGGCTGAAATGCAAAAGGAATATAAAGCCAAGTGCCTGCTACATGGAAGACCCTCAACACACAACAGCTATTTTTTTTTTTTTTTTTTTAAGATGGAGTCTCACTCTGTCGCCCAGGCTGGAGTGCAGTGGCGCAATCTCAGCTCACTGCAACCTCCACCTCCCAGGTTCAAGCGATTCTCCTTCCTCAGTCTCCTGAGTAGCTGGGATTACAGGCGCCCACCACCACACCCGGCTAATTTTTTATTTTTTATTTTTTAATTTTTTTGTAGAGATGGAGTCTTCCTCTGTCGCCCAAGCTGGAGTGCAGTGGCACGATCTAGGCTCACTGCAACCTCCGCCTCCTGGGTTCAAGCCATGCTCCTGCCTCAGCCTCCTGAGTAGCGGGGATTACAGGCGCACATGACCACACTCGGCAAAATCTTTTTTTTTTTTTCTTTTTTTGAGACGGAGTCTTACTCTATCACCCAGGCTGGAGTGCAGTGGCGCGATCTCGGCTCACTGCAAGCTCCACCTCCCGGGTTCACACCATTCTCCTGCCTCAGCCTCCCGAGTAGCAGGGACTACAGGCGCCTGCCACTGCACCTGGCTAATTTTTTGTATTTTTAGTAGAGACAGGGTTTCACAGTGTTAGCCAGGATGGTCTCAATCTCCTGACCTCATGATTCGCCCGCCTCGGCCTCCCAAAGTGTTGGGATTACAGGCGTGAGCCACTGCGCCTGGCCATAATTTTTTTTGTATATTTAGTAGAGACGGGGTTTCACCATATTGGTCAGGCTGGTTTCGAACTCCTGACCTCGTGATCCACCCGCCTCGGCCTCCCAAAGTACTGGGATTACAGGCATGAGCCACCACGCCCAGTCTAATTTTTGTATTTTTCGTAGAGATGGGGTTTCACCACATTGGCCAGGCTGGTCTCGAACTCCTGACCTCAAGTGATCTGCCTGCCTCGGCCTCTCAAAGTGTCGGGATTACAGGTGTGAGCCACTACTGTGCCCGGCCCACAGTAGCCATTTTCTTTTTTCTTTTTTTTTGAGGCGGAGTCTGGCTCTCTTGCCCAGGCTTCAGTGCAGTGCAAGCTCCGCCTCACGGGTTCACGCCATTCTCCTGCCTCAGCCTCCCAAGTAGCTGGGACTACAGGCGCCCGCCACCTCGCCCGGCTAGTTTTTTGTATTTTTTAGTAGAGACGGGGTTTCACTGTGTTAGCCAGGATGGTCTCGATCTCCTGACCTCGTGATCTGCCCGTCTCGGCCTCCCAAAGTGCTGGGATTACAGGCCTGAGCCACCGCGCCCGGCCCTTTTTTTTTTTTTTTTTTTTTTTTTTTTTTTTTTTTTTGAGACAGAGTCTCCCTCCATTGCCCAGGCTGAAGTGCGGTGGCGCAATCTCAGCTCACTGCAACCTCTGCCTCCCAGGTTCAAGCAATTCTCCTGCTTCAGTCTCCCGAGCAGCTGGGATTACAGGCATGTGCCACCACGCCCAGCTAATTTTTGTATTTTTAGTAGAGACAGGGTTTCACCATGTTGATCAAGCTGGTCTTCAACTCATGACCTCGTGATCCACCCGCCTCAGCCTCCCAAAGTGCTGGGATTACAGGCGTGAGCCACTGCGCCTGGCCTACAGTAACCATTTTCTTTCCATTTCTCTGAAGTTTGGTTTCATGATATTTATTTATTTATTTTTATTTTTGTTTTTTGTTTTTTTTTTTTTGAGACGGAGTCTCGCTCTGTCGCCCAGGCTGGAGTGCAGTGGCCGGATCTCAGCTCACTGCAAGCTCCGCCTCCTGGGTTCACGCCATTCTCCTGCCTCAGCCTCCCGAGTAACTGGGACTACAGGCACCCGCCACCTCGCCCGGCTAGTTTTTTGTATTTTTTAGTAGAGACGGGGTTTCACCATGTTAGCCAGGATGGTCTTGATCTCCTGACCTCGTGATCCGCCCGTCTCGGCCTCCCAAAGTGCAGGGATTACAGGCTTGAGCCACCGCGCCCGGCCTATTTTTATTTTTTATTTTTTTGAGACAGGGTCTCACACTGTCGCCCAGGCTAGAGTGCAGTGGTGGGTTCTTGACTCACTGCAACCTCCGCCTCCCAGGTTCAAGAAATTTTCCTGCCTCAGCCTCCCAAGTAGTTGGGATCACAGGCGTGCACCACCATGCCTGACTAATTTTTGTATTTTTTGTACAGACAGGGTTTCGCCATGTTGGCCAGGCTGGTCTTGAACTCCTGACCTCAAGTGATCCTCCCGCCTTGGCTTCCTGAAGTGCTGGGGTTACAGGAGTGAGCCACCGTGTGGTTTCATGATCTTTACAGATCAGTCACTAGGTGGAGCGTGGTGGCTTATGCCTATAATTTTAGCACTTTGGAAGGCCAAGGCAGAAGGATCACTTGGGGCCAGGAGTTAGAGACCAGCTGGGGCAACATCAATCAAAAATAAAAATCATTGACCTTTCTGCCAAATCCATGATTGAAATTGTCTTTCCAGCACCCAAACTTTACGCCTTTTGCCACCTGGAATATCCTAGCCCCTCTTGTCTGCCATCCATCAAATTCCTTTTTAAATGCCACCTCCACACTTTTTTTCATGCTGTTCCTGCCACCTAAGATACCCTAGGATAACTATGTACTATTCCTCAGCCATACAGGGTATGCTTGGGTTTTACATCCATCATCAGACCCCTTACAGCTCTGTTACTATCTGCATTCACGCTTTGTACATGAAGAAACCAAGGCTCTGAAGATTAAATAACAGGCCCAAGTCAAGATTCAAAACAGGTTTTGACTAAAACAACAGCATTCTCACTTCATCATCCCCCCACACCCTGCCCCCATCTTATCAAATCCCGTTCATCCAGTGTCACGGCTTTCTCAAGCACACCCAATCAAGTGTTCTCTCCCGATTTCCCCCTTATCAGGCATCCAGATGCCTCCCTTCCCCTCCTCCAGCCCACGGGCTTCTTAAAAGCAGGGCTGATGCCGGGTGCGGTGGCTCACGCCTGTAATCTCAGCACTTTGAGAGGCTGACACGGGTGGATCACGAGGTCAGGAGATCGAGACCATCCTGGCTAACATGGTGAAACCCCGTCTCTACTAAAAATACAAAAATTTGCCGGGCATGGTGGCGGGCGCCTATAGTCCCAGCTACTTGGGAGGCTGAGGCAGGAGAATGGTGTGAACCTGGGAGGCAGAGCTTGCAGTGAGCGAGATAGCGCCACTGCACTCCAGCCAGGACGACAGAAGGAGACTCTGTCTCTAAAAAAAATTAAAAATAAAAATAAAAAATAAAGCAGGCCTGGGTTAGTCCCAACCTTGATCTCTGCCCTTTGCCTGCACCAGGCTCCCTCAGCGTGCTCAGTCAATCCCTGCTGGGTCGACTGGCCCCTAAAAGGTCAGTATGAACATCCTCAGCCCTAGGCAACAGCAGCAGCAGTCATAGAAAAACTGTCATCCTCAGACCCCACTGTGCCCCTAGCTCTGTGTTCTGCTTAACTGTGGGAGTCAGAGAGAAGGGGCAGCCTGGGAAGCTTGATGTGGCTCTCTGAGTAAGATACTAAAGCAAGGCAACAGGTACAAAGAATAGTGATCATAACAGAGAAACATTTATTAAGCTTTTGCCGGGTGCACAGCGCTGTACTAAGAGACACAGAAACAATCTGGGAAGAGAGCTCAGAGCAGCAAGGGAGAAAGGGGCCATATCAGGAAAGGTTTTGTAAACCTTGTACAAGATTCTATGCTGAGGACAACAGGTGGGGCGCTGGGAGTGGGGAAGTGACAGGATCAGATCTGTTTGGAAGGAGCCCTCTGGCAGGTGTCAAAACTCTTCTCCTTCACCCTGTCAGGCCCCTGGGAGGTACAGACTGGAAAGGGATGGAAGCAGCAGCATCTCCCTGATTTCTGAACCAACCTATGGTGGGTGGGGGAGGCTGATGAATTTAGTGGAGGGAACCAAGAATGCCGAACTGGGCCCCTGGAGTGAGGGGCATCAGGCTGTACAAGAGGTATTAGTGCAGAGGGAAAAGCTACAAATAGGCATAGTTCGGAGTCAGGAGCCCTGGGCCAGGCGTGAACATTAACTTACTATCTTAGTCTATTCCTACATCTGTGAAGCAGGGAAAACAATTCCATTTTCTGCCTGTCCTCAGAAATACCAAATGAACAAATGAACATGAAAGGTATAATATGTGCCCTTTTGTCAACAGGCAGCTGACCTCTGAATTGTCTGCTGTGTTTCCTGTTTCACTATGGGAGTCATGTCTTCCTGCCCAGTCTCCCCACAGCAGGGTCTAGCACCAGGGTTGGGGGGTGGGGGGCCCATCCTCCTCCTCCGGCTGGAAATGAGTTTTCAACTTGTTGAGATGGGGACCTTCTCCCTGCCCCTCCCCCACAGGTCCTTGAAGAGGCAACAGCTTCACCTCAGGACCACCCACCCCTCCCAAGCCACTGAGGAGTTTGGGATCAGCCCAGGAGCTCTTCACTCAATAGCTGGTGCTGAAACACGTGTAGGGCTGCTCTCCACCGCCTGCACGTTAAAATCACCTGAGGAGCTGTGCAATAATACCGAGGCCCAGGCCTCACCCAGCGCAGTTAAATCGGAATCTCTCAGGGCGGGCCCAGCATCGGTGTTTTTTTAAAGCTCCCCAAGTGCCACCAGGGTTAAATGCCTTTATGCTAATAGAACGGATCCCAGCCTGATCAGTGCATCCCTCGATCCCAGAACGCCAGGGAGCTATCTGACCCACTGCATCCCTTTCCTCCAGACCCCCGGAGAGCCCTTCTGCGAGGATTCCACCCTTGCCGCCTTGAAGCCCGCTTCTTCCTCCCGGACCACAGAACTCTTCCAATCCACAATATGATCACCCCAAAGACCCCCGCAGATAGCCCCCATGACTCCCAGAGCGCAAAGCATTCCCCTCCCCCTCGGGCCTGTAGTTTGTGCCAGATCGGCCCCAGCCCAGCCCGCTCCTGCCCGCGAGCCCCGGCCTCTGGCCAGCTTCTCACCGCAATCGTAGCCGGCGAAGCCTAATCCTACGGCTGGCGGGAGCCAGGTGCAAGCCAGTGCGCCTGCGCGCGCTTCTAGGGCTTCCCCAGCCTCTCCCTCCGCCCCCGCCCAGCGATTGGCTCCGCGCGGCCCCGGGACCGCAGCACTGGCAGGTGACCGCACCTGAAGCTGCCGCCGCCATGTTTGTCACGGGCGCTTGCCCTTAGCGATCAAAAGGAGATACGAGCAAATAGGGTCAGGTTGCCTGGATTCTTGACCGGCTCAACCCCTCTCCTTTACCTCCACGATAGCGTAATGTAATTTCAGTGCAAACCAACACGTTTTTTTCTAAGCGCTCACCTTCCTTCCCTCCTTGCCTAGTACTTGTTGGGAGAACAAAGAGAGGTCAGCATCTCCATCGAGTCTTGTGGTCTGAGCGGATGCACAGCTGCAGCCGACTTGGAGGTGGTAGCAGCTCGATCTGGGACTCCCTGATGCTGCATCATGAGCCCTTCAAGGGTGGAAAGGTCCAGGTTGAGCTGTGGGCACCAGGGCTCTAGCCACAGGAGCCAGGCCTGAAGGTGGGGAACAGCACCAGGGCCTGAATGAGCAACCACGCAGCCCAACCTCCTTGTATTATGGTAATAATACAAGGTAATATAACATGGTATATACCATATAATGTACCATATAATATTGGTAATATAACATAAAAAGTACTGAGTGCTTGCTATGTGCCCTGTACTACATTCAGAACAACACGTGCATTCTCTTGTTGAGTCTTCACATCATCCCCAGGGGGTAGGCGCTTTTATCCCCATTTTATACGTGAGGAAACTGCGGTTCAGAGATTCAATGACATGCAAACAGCAAGGGCCCAGTCGAGGTGGAACCCAGCTATCCTGACTCCACATGGGAGTCTTTCCTCTTCCCACACCTGCACAATTCCTCAAAATCAAGTTTTGTTTTGCTCAATGTAGGCTGTGGAGGATGTTTTATGTTTTCTCCCAACTGGCCTGTAACCCTGGATAGGTTTTTGGGCAAACAAACAGCACACATTCCAGCTCTGCCTGGTTCCCCTACCTTGGGACACAGGGTAAAGAGCCTATGGCCTTCGGCTTCTGGGGGAACTCATCCCCTAGCTCCACCACTTCCTTGCTAAGGGACTCCTTTATTGTTGTTATTATTATTATTATTATTAGAAACAGGGTCTTGCTCTGTTGCTCAGGCTAGAGTGCAGTGGTGGCATGATCTCAGCTCACTGCAACCTCCACCTCCCTGGCTCAGATGATCCTCTCACCTCAGCCTCCCAAGTTGCTGGGACCACCAGCTCACTCCACCATGCCTGGCTAATTTCTAAAATTATCTGTAGAGATGGAGTCTCACTATGTTACCCAGGGTGGTCTTGAATTCCTGGGCTCAAGGGACCCTCCCGCTTCAGCCTCCCAAAGTGCTGGAATGATAAGCGTGAGTCACTGCACCTGGCTGGGGCCCTTCTTTTGTGAGCCTGTTTTATGCTTTACAGGGATTTTTCAGGCATTAAATGAGAAACAAGGTGTAGGAGCTTTGTGAACTGCTCATCCTTATGACCTTCATTGATGGTTGTCAGCTAACTCCCTGCAACAGGAATATTGTCCTCCTCCTCCTAACAACCACAGCAAATGGTCCAATGTAGTGTCCAGGGGCTAGAGCCTGGACAAATGGTCTAGTGTCCAGGGGCTAGAGCCTATTCAACCAGTTCCTGGGGAGCCCCCAGGGACGCCATGAACCTTGCCCCCAGAATCCATTTCCCTCTAACCTGTCTCATTTCCCTCCTTCCCAATCTCTTTCAGATACCCTTCACACTTCCCATGTCACCCCAAGCCACACATAGACACACACACATATACACCCATCTCTCTTCTAGACTTAGACAATTGCTGAAACCCCTCCTGATCCATAAGGCCTCATGAGTAGAAGACAGGTGATCATTTTGCCCCTCTCCTCACCTCTTACCTCCATCTGTGCTTTCCTGGCTGTGAGAACAGAAAACCCAGCATCCAGCACACTGGGATCGCCATACATTTGCTAAAGGAGTCTCCCCGCCCTTCTATCTTTGGCTAGCACGTGCCTTTATTTCAAAGCAAACCCGAGTCTTTACTTAGCCCTCCCTGGGTGTCCAGTGGGGAAATGGAAATGGAGAGGGCTGGCAGGGGCCAGGGCTGAATGTGACCCAGGAGAAAAGACCTTTGGTCCCTCAGGGCCGGGCGCAGTGGCTCATGCCTGTAATCCTAGCACTTTGGGAGGCTGAGGTGGTCGGATCATGAAGTCAGGAGATAGAGACCATCCTGGCCAACATAGTGAAACCCTGTCTCAACTAAAATACAAAAATTAGCTGGGCGTGGTGGCGTGTGCCTGTAATCCCAGCTACTTGGGAGGCTGAGGGAGGAGAACTGTTTGAACCAGGGAATCGGAATGTGCAGTGAGCTGAGATCACTCACTCCAAATCGATCACTGCACTCCAGCCTAGCAACAGAGTGAGACTCTGGCTCAAAAAAAAAAAAAAAAAAAAAAGAAAGAAAGAAAAGAAAAGACCTTTGGTCCCTCATGTTGTATTTAATGCCACACAGTTACACTCTGAGGCCCCTCAACCTTCTGATTATAAAGACAACATAGCCAGTTACCTTTTATGTCAGCACCAGGACAGGGCCTTGTAATTCTCTCTGATTTCTCTTTATGGTTGCCAATCACAGAGCTAACTAGGAGGGGACATGCGATGAACTAGAGGCCATATCACCTCCCTAACTCCTTGAGCCATACTGGAGTCCCCGGACCATGGGACAGATAGATTATGCGCTGTCTTTGAAATTCTCTCCTCCCTTTACTTTCCACCTCTCTGATCTAGTTTCTGCCATGTTCTCTTCCTACATAATAATTCCTCTTCAGTCCCCTTCACTGTGGCACTTTCTCCCAGGGCCTCTAAAGGAAAAGGGAGGGTGTCCCAAGTTTCCATCTTTTATACTCATATATTCACTCAGACTTTTAATCCATGCCAGGCCACAGGCTGTGAGGTAAAGGGGACTTCAAAAACAAGACTGCTGGCTGGGCGCAGTGGCTCATGCCTGTAATCCCAGAACTTTGGGAGGCCGAGGTGGGCGGATCACCTGAGGTCAGGAGTTCAAAACTAGCCTGGCCAATATGGTGAAACCCCGTCTCTACTAAAAAATACAAAAAAAAAATTAGCCTGGCGCGGTGGTGGGTGCCTGCTATCCCAGCTACTCGGGAGGCTGAGGCAGGAGAATCACTTGAACCCGGGAGGCAGAGGTTGCAGTGAGCTGAGATCGCACCACTGCACTCCAGCCTGTTGACACAGCAAGACTCTGTCTCAAAAAATAAAAAATAAAAAAACAAGATAGCTACCTGAAAGAGGTGTTGAGTGGGGTCCAAACAAGCTGGCAGACATGATGTCAATAGTGTGATAGGGACCAGATGGAGACAAGCCCAGGGTGGCAGTTGTTACGGTAATTTCACCTACTACCTTTTTCTTCATGACTACTTCCACACCTCCCATGTCCAGCCTGAACAGAATGTCCAGCATGGCCCACTCGAATTCACCATTCCTTAAACTTCCAATCTCCCTCCAGCGTTTTCTACCTCCAGGACTGCCTTAACTGCCCATCCAGGTGGCCAAGCCAGAAACGTGTGCATCCACCCTCCATCCTACGTGCTTCATCAAAACAACCATCTTGGATCAAGCCCGGGTGAATCCTACTCCCATCTCTCTTTTCCATCCCTTGCTCCTGTTTGGTTCTCAGCTTTCCTAAGCTAACATAAGAACTTCCTCCATGACTGGCTTCTACCCCCTCGCTCTCTAATCTGTCCTCCATTTTGCCCTCAAGTGAGCTTCTGATCACAAGGTTCCCTGAGCAAAAGCTTCTCAGGTTGCTATATACTGAAATTTTTCATGGCCAGATGCAGTGGCTCACACCTGTAATCCCAGCACCTTGGGAGTCTGAGGCAGGAGGATCGCTTGAGCCCAGGAGTTGGAGACGAGCCTGAGCAACAGAGACTCCATCTCTACAGAAAATTTTAAAAAATAAAAAAGAAGCGGCCAGGCACAGTGGCTCACAACTGTAATCCCAGCACTTTGGGATGCCAAGGCGGGCAGATCACAAGGTCAGGAGATCAAGACCATCCTGGCCAACATGGTGAAACCCCGTCTCTACTAAAAAACAAAAAATTAGCCAGGCATGGTGGTGCACGCGTGTAGTCCCAGCTAGTTGGAAGGCTGAGGCAGGGGAATCGCTTGAACCCGGGGGGTTGCAGAGAGCCGAGATCGCGCCACTGCACTCCAGCTTGGTGACAGAGCAAGACTCCGTCTCAAAAATAAAAAATAAAAAAATAAAAAAATCGGCCTGGTGTGGTGAGGGAGGACCAGGCACAGTGACTCACACCTGTAATCCCAGCACTTTGGGAGGCTGAGGTGGGTGGATCACCTGAGGTCAGGAGTTCAAGGCCAGCCTGGCCAACATGGTGAAATCCCATCTCTACTAAAAATACAAAAAACATTAGCTGGGTGTGGTGGCGGGTGCCTGTAATTTACCCCACTACTCAGGAGGCTGAGGCAGGAGAATTGCTTGAACCCAGGAGGCGGAAGTTGCAGTGAGCCCAGATCGCACCATTGCACTCCAGCCTGGGCAACAGAGCGAGACTCTGCCTCAAATCATAATAATAAAACAAAATAAAAATTTAAAAAATCTGTGGAATGTGGTGAGGCATACCTGTAGTTCCAACTATTCAGGAGGCTGAGGTGGGAGGATTGCTTGAGCCCAGGAGGTTGAGGCTGCAGTATGCCATGACCACACCACTGCTCTCCAGCCTGGGTGACAGAGTGAGACTCTTGTCGCAAAAAAAAATTTTTTTCATAACAAAGTGCTGGGGGGCAATGGGGGTAGGAAATACCCTGGGGTGTATCATTAGTGCAAGCAATAGACAATTTGAACTAGCTTAAATAAAGAAGGAATTTACTGGCCTGTGTAACTTAAGTCCAGGACCCTTTCTGATTTCTGTCCTGGGAAAAGCAAAAAATTCCCTCCACCCAACAAGAAAATAAAGTCCTAGGCTTGCCTTGCACTGGTCC